TCAGTTTGCAGCACTTTCTTTTTCTTTCTTAGCGGCAGCTCCAAGCGTCCTTAACATCCAATGAATAGCTGGTTGTTTAGGAGCGGGCTGGCAAGCTGGCCACTGCATTCTTAACAACAGAAGACTTATCAGCTGTCAGCAGGGTTCCCGGCTGACAGCTGAATGTAAACAAAAACATTTCCGATATTTAAAATTATAGGGAAAAAAAAGGCACGGGGACCCCCCAATCCATACCAGATCCCTATTTGAGCATGCAACCTGATAGGCCAAAAAAGGAGAAGGGTAAGTGAGTGCCCCCTCTTCTGAACCATACCAGGCCACATGCTCTCATCATGGCAGGTGCTTTGGGGTAAGGGGGCTCCCCCACCTCAAATTACCTTGTCCCCAGGTTGATGGGAACAAGGGCCTCTTCTCCACAACCCTGGGCAGTGGTTTTGGGGATCTGTGGGTGGGGTCTCGTCAGAATCTGGAAGCCCCCTTTAACAAGGTGGCACCCAGACCTTGCCCCCCTATGTGAATGAGTATGGGGTACACTGTACTTCTACTTGTACACCAAAAGAAAGTAAATCCAGCATCATTCACGATGAACACCTCCACCGACCTGAAGAAAAAAAAAAAAGAGGTCTGCATCCGAAGCTGGCTCCCATCATCTGACAGCTCTGCTGCCTCCCGATGCTAAATAAACTAAGGGGCAGGGCCACCTGGTGACATCACCAGGAGACCCCTCACCCTTGTGACATCATCCTGCTCCCCCCCTCCCTCCTGGCAGTGCTGATTGGATACAATCAGAGGGTGGGAGAATAAGAGCCAATGGGAGCATCAAAGACTTACTGTGCAGTTGCTAAGGATCATGGGATATATAGTCCTTAAGAAGTCCCTGCACTTTACATTTCTATAAAGGCTCATTGGCTCTTAATTCCCAAAAAAGCCCTTCACACATAGGAGAAGAGTTTGATTTTTCCTGGGCATAATGAAAGAGATCAAGGCCAGTCCAGAGTGGGAGAGTGAAGGGTACAGACCAATTGTCAGGGTCTGTGCTCGACATCCAGATGTCCAGATGAGACAGGAAGTAAAGAGAAACCTCCCCAATGGCACAAATGGCAAAACAACTGTCAGGAGTTATAACCCTCAAACCTTACTCCATCCAAAATGAAAAAAAAAGTTTTGCCTATTGTTCTACTGTAACATTATCATTATTTCAAAGTTTTTAAAGTCATTGTTTTATTCTGCTTTTACACTTGAGATGTTTAGTCATTTTGCAGGCTTTTTTTTATTTGAACAGGCATTTTGGCACATTTTGTGGGCATAAGAGGCTTGAGCTGTTAGTTCTAAATAATTTTTTTAGCCACTGAAAAACTAGTCTACTGGGGGGAAACATACGATATGATCTCTTTGATTTATCAGAAACACTAAATTTAGTTGGGGCAAAGTGTAGTAAATAACCCATAACAAGTAGGCAACCATTCAGACCTAACTTCTATGCAACCAAATGTTTAAATTGTGATTGGTTACTGTCTTTCTTTTAGCCTTATTAAATAAACCTGACTTAACACTAAAGCATAGAATGACAAAACCAGGTTGTAAGTAACTTGCAAGAATCTGAAAGCCTTCAGTACACAGAAACTTTATTACTCTGAGTGCCAACACACACCAAGAAAAGGTCAGGCGAAGCGGACCTGCTGTGTGTTCTGGAGTGCTAACTTTCATCTACTGGGAGCAATAGACTGCAAGCATAACAATATCATAAAACTTGTGCTTTCAGTGTCACTGGGTCACAAAGACATTCTGTTCTAAACTATAACTTTTCAAAATATCAAAGTACAATCAGCTGTGAAAATTAAAGATTGTGTATCTGTAGCTTCGCTTCATTTTAAGAATGCTGGGCATAGCAAAAAAAAATATATATATTTTTTTTAAATGATTTTTCATTTAATATAGACCTCTCATTAGCTTAAGACCCTTTGCACAAAGAGCTGCAATGCATCCCTCCTGGTGATTTCAGTGCAAAAGGACAGATGCATTGTCCAACCCTGTTGCAGGCAGCCTGTCACAGACTACAGGGCTGGATGTTCTACTGAGTGGTACTGATATTTAGGGTCATGCCCGTTCAGGGATGAGGTTCTGGAATGCATACCTATATGTTTCAAGGGGCCTTAAAGTGGTTCTAATGGCTGAAGGTTAGTTACTAGTGTTGGGCTTGAACATTGGACATTTGTGCGTTTGACAAACACACACGTGGTAAGGGCCTTCGGCCAGCTAGTTGCCCACCGAGCGCGCCACAATGCACTGTGAGAACCATGATTGGCCAAAGCAACCATAAGTAAAGTGCAATGTTTTGGCCAATCACAGCACAATGCATTGTGAGAGCCATAATTGGCCAAAGTCAGCCTTGATTGTTCCCTCTTTTCCTGCCTGTACTCAGATCAAGGGTCTGAAATCTCCATTTGTGGGACAGAAAGGTGTCAGGGCCTGGACATGAACCTAGGACCTCTACTGTGTCAGGCAGTAACTCTTCTGACTGAGCTACCTGGGATGCTGGATAACACTTTGCCTGACCTATTGGACAATCCTGCCTTGTGACTTGTTTTCTGATGAACCTTGAACTCCTTGCTCCTCCCATGAACTTCCTGATTTAAGCCATGTCTCTGCATTTCCTGGTTGCCAGATTATTGTGCCTTCTCCAGCCAGCATCTTGCTTTGTCTCTCTTGCTGCCATCCAGACCTTCGCTACCGACCTTTGGCTTTTTCTTTGACTACGATTCTGCCTCATCCCAACCTGCTACTGCTTTTTACCGACCCTTGGCTTGTTTACTGACTACGCTTCTGCTAGATCCCTACCTGCCATATCTGCTACTGGATCCTGGCTTGCTCACTTCCTGGTGGGGTGATCCTGAGAACTGCGACCTGGTACTAACACGCAGCAAAACCCATCTCCACCATCAGGAGCTCTGGTGAATACCGGTTAGTGCTTAGACCCCGCACCTCAGGTGAGCCTGCGTCATTTCCCAGGGTGACCTGCTTGTTTACCTATCCTGTTGGTTGGTCTGCTGCTATAGCTACTGGTCTCTGAACCTGACCTCACACCGTGACAAAAGGACATAAATTTCATACATTTTTTAACTGATTAATTGTCAGTTAAAGTAACGCAGTGCCGTATCGCAAAAAAATGGCCTGGTCTGGAAGAGGGTAAATCCTCTGGAGAGCAAGTGGTTAATATTAATCACTAGTTCTGCAACTAGACAGTCACATTTTAAGTATAGGAAGCCCCAGTTTTTCTGGGTTATAACCCCCTAGTATGAGTACATCATATACTGTTTGGGTTATTACATTATCTCCCCTGTACCACTGGGTATTATATATCATATTCCTTTATCACTTAATAATATTTTTATTCCTGTATTTATTCCTTCTGGCGATATTGCTTCAACCTATATTGTAGTATGTTACCTCATTTAGCATTTTCAAACACACTAATTTACTGCTCAGTGCTTTTATCAGTATATTGTTTTATTGATATTTTATAATTTATACACTACAGGCTACTAAGTTGTGCTACTGTGGGATTGTAAGCATGGTTTCTGTAACTGTGTTTCCTTATTCTCTTCATAATTATATGCCCATTACAATCAGTCTATTTCCGCTACTGTTATTAATAATCCTTTACTTTGTGCTACAAAGGTTTCCACTTCTGTCTTCATAACAAACTCTGAGCGGACTGGTCTCCTGGTTACTGCCTCTCCCCTGCCCCCTTCTGCCCCCTGCCCCCCTCCTGCTATATAATGCAGCTCTGTCTTGTTAGGGCTAGGCCTTGATGAATGAGCGATCTGCGCATGCTCCAAAACGCGTCAATACCTATCCAGCCCAGGCGTTCCACGCTGTCAGCGTGCATTCCATGAGTGGTCCCTGAAGAGTGGCGGTCACCTTGGATCTGTGCTCTGCTTCCCCTGCAGCTGCTAGCCCGCACAGCGCATGAGGGAAACACAGTGACAGGACCCCCGCACAGAAGATTTCACTATGATGAGCCTTCATGCATCCATGGTTTTGTAAGCGTGTTTAACCATTCTTTTATAATAAACAACTGGAATACCGAACTTAGAAGCCCATTTCTGTTTTCCTCTATGGAGGCACTCAGCAGGGGGGAGGAACACCGGTAGGGGACTGCAGAAGAAGATGATCGGGGCTGCTCTATGAATAAACATTGCATAGAGCAGGTAAGAATGACATGTTTATTATTTAAAAAAAGTACCTTTTAGTATCACTTTTAAGTGTATCTAAACACAAAAATAGTATGTTGCAGCTTATTGGTCCTTAGATGTGGTGGCTGTATTCATTTTGCTTTTTCAGGCAATTTTCCTTTACTTTCACCTGGTAATCTTGCCAAAGATACACCTGCTGTGCATGGATGACAACTGTCACTTGCTGTACTGTACGTATGAAAGAGCAATGTTTTCACCCTAGGATAGGAAGTTTAGCACTGCAGAACGCCTTCACCTCTCCTCTTCTCCAATACAAAGGGGGAGTTGCTCTGTATTCCAAGGAGATTTTTTGGAACAATGTACCTGATAACAATATAGCACAGTTAAAGATCACAGGAAGTTCACTAGATTTCTGGCAGATCAACTGCCAATTTTTGCATATATTGAGCAAATATAACAAAATGCCTTCAATGGTGTACTTAACCTCCCTAGCGGTCTGATTATGCCCATATTTCTGTGCTCAAAGCGGTACATTTTTTTTCATGGAAATATGTACTTTTTTTATTGTAGGCCTGTAATTTTTAGGAATAACTCACTGAAATCTGTCCAAACAAGAGTCTAGTAAACATCCCGAGTATGTTACAATTTGAAACACGAAATCATAAATTATAATTTATTAAATAATCATAAAAAATAATAATATAATAATACATTTAATTCAATAATATAATCAAACCAAAAACACTGAAATTTGAAATATAGCGCCAAGTTCGCACATCACTGAGAAAAGTCGCAAAATCGGTTTCTGTGTCTGATGACGAATTTCCCCACGAATCATTATCACTCAATTCTGCAAGTAGTTCTAATTTACTATTGCTGGTCTAAAACCGCTTTTGACCTAAAGGGACGCTTTTTGGACGCCATGGACATTTCTCAGTTTCCAGGCAGTAAGAACAGTAAAAATGCAGGCAGGACACAGGACAAAGCACTCGGGACAAAATGTATGTGAAATGGTTTGATACAGTAATGTCATACTATGTGATTTTAGTGAATTTAGTGAATGTCACTTTTTGTCATTTTCAAATTTCCTGCAGTTACGTCCCGACGCTCGCAGGGGATGGAACCCAGATGACAGATGCCGGCATCCGCCGGAGGACATTGCCGGGGACACTGCAGGGTGGACATCATGGGAGCGCAGGACAAGGTAAGAGAAGAACAGATCCCAAAGCAACGCTGCAGGATATTCCCGAGTGTAGCTCGGGGTTACCACTTGTGGTACTGAAACTTACCCCGAGTTACACTACGAAATACCGCCAGGGAGGTTAACAGACCAAAAAGGACTAAGTAATGATTTACATTTACTGTAACATTTGCATGAATACATTCCAGTATGCGGCAACGCTATTGTTTTCATAAATACTATACATTTTTTATTTTTTAAAGTGTGTGTCACTTGGAATTTAGTGCCCTCTGTGAATACTGTACAGCTGGGGCTGCTTTTGAGTTGAACTTAATATAACTTAAATAAACCCAAAATAGACCACAGTGAGCATGTGCTGAAAAAAATGCATACACATAAGTAACCTTTCAAATAACGCATATAAAAAATTATCAGTAGATACACAATTGCTGTATATGCAGCTGAAATTCTATGAGAAAATTTACTTTATTACTTTAACCCCTTGGTGCAGGCGCCTCCCAGCCCTTTAAGGGTTTCAGAAGCCGAGAGACGGGCGGGGTTTTACGGTCATGTGATTGCCATGATTTGCTGTCACGGCACTCACATGATTGGGAAAGGTCCCGATCGCAAGAGGAGATCGGGACCTTTCCGTGAGCACCGTACAAGGGTGCGTGCTCTCAGCACATATGTTTTTCTTAATTGCACACAAATGTACGGCCGCTTGGCATCAAGGCCCAGATGCCGGGAGGTCGCACATTTGCACGCAGCCGGCGCCAAGAGGTTAAACTAGTTGTAAACCTCAGACATGAAATAGGAACAAGACATATCAATCTATAGTGTGTACTTGTCTCCAATAAGAGCATTATGTGTCATTTATGTCTGCTATTTCCTTCCTCTGCTGTTAGCATGAGTCACTTCTAACAAGTTGACAGGGGAGGGACCTCCAGCTGATTGACAGCCTAAACTCTGTTCCTATGTGCAGTGTTGAGGGGGGGTGTCCCTTCCCTCCAATCAGCTCTCAGAATTCTCCTCACTGAGCTCTGCAGAGTGTAACTTCAGCTCTCCTCCCCCTTTTTTTCTGAACTCCCAGACAAGCTTTAAATTTTCAGCACCATGAATGGATGTAGAGAAGAGAATACAGCAAATAAACAGGTACAACTTATGTAAGAGGATTAGTTTCATGTCTATGTATCACCTGAGGTCAGTCGCTTCACTGGGTATATGTAAGGGTTTACAACCACTTTAAACCTCCCTATTGTTCTGTTAATGTGATGGGTCAACTTACGGACCAACAGGGAGGCTCTGGGACAGGATGGTTAAGGTCAAGTTCTACTTGGCCGAAACATTGAGTTCTGTATATACGTTTAGCTGCTTATATATTTCTACTTACACCCTTTTTCATTTTATGTTTAGATTGTCCAGTTTACTGACAGGTTTGTTTTAAGAGGAGTTTATGTATAATTTGTAAGATGTCTCCCCAATTGTTCAGCATTTATGTCTTGCTCTTTAATATATTTTGGATCCTGTCCATATCGGGCATGCCTTCAGACATCTATTCAGTGGAGCACAACATAATACCTTCTGTTAGAATACCTTTTGTTGAGATATTTCGAACAATAGCATCTGTAATAGAGACTTTTTCATTTTCCACACTATAGATCTCTTCAGCACTTCCAGAACATTTCTGAGCTGGTGATATAAAAGAACATTTATATGTCAGGAAATTACTTACCTCAATTACATCTATTAAACAACTAATGGATTTTGTGCAGACCTTATTGTATCCATATTTTCTTGCTGTCCAATTGATTATCATCGTCCCACATACAGTATGTGTATATCCAGTGTGGCCAGTACCTTTGCATAACATTTTACTACACAGTTTAGACTAGATGATTGGTGGGGGGTAGCAGTTTAGATTAATAAAAATCTTTTAGCTCCCAAAGCCATCAAAAAAGAGTGCTTGCTTTTATGTAAAATAATTGTTATGATGGGACATGATATCTAATGTATCGATATGCCCTGATATGTTTAATGTTGCATTGCACAGCTAGAACTATAATCAAGGATTGGGGAGGGCCAGTCCTCCCCTGTCCCTAAGATTCTGCAGGAGTTTCAAGTTATTGTTTCAAATACAATCATGAGTAATGCTATTCTGTCTATGGAAACTCTCTACAGAAATTATACAGGTGACCCGTTATTAAAATCTTTAGTAGTAGCAGTCATTCACAACACATGTGAATCAAATGGCTACCATGAAGTAAAGAAAACAAGTAACATGTGACAGCCATTAGGCCATAAATTAAAGAATAATTCCAGGCATCAGCATGTTATATGTATAAAGTGCTACTCCCCCCAAAGGAGCCACTAGTATTTTTGCCCAGTTCTCCCTTTGCTTCGCCCTGCAACCAGGCACAAAGTATTTTATATAGCCAGGTACATACACTCCTTTGCTCGTTGTCTTCAATGACCAGTCTAGCAGATTTTTGCTTTTGGAGTTTTATTGCAGAACTGGGGATAGGGATGGGGAAATTAGTAGGATACTACAAAATTAGAACTATTCACACTGAGGACATCTAGCTGATCTCTTAGTTGAGCTCTTTTGAAGTCCTGGCAAAAGCAGAGAGCAGACTTCTCTTTAAATTGTAGTAACAAGTAGTTTAGGAGTAAGCAAAGTCCCTTTAGCAGTAGTAGTAGTTGCAGGGATAGGGTCCTCAGGTACAGGCCTGTTACGGCAGACTGTGGCAGTCCAGAAGTAATAGAAACTGAGTAAAGTCCTTTGCAGTAGCAACAGTTGGACAAGCTCTTCAGAACACCAGCCAGTGTTCAATTTTTCCCAAACCCTCACTGACTATCAAGCACCAGAGGGGTAGCAAAGCACACAGATTCCCTGTTTTGCCTCAAAACAAAGTGTTTTTAACAGTACTACAAATCTCTCACTAATACTACACGGATTAGGCTTAATAAATATTAAAGCAAAACATGATTTATTGAATAAGTTCTGTTAGTATAATAACATAAGAATTGTCAGAATTGCAAATCATATTTAGATCATATTATAGCAAGAATAAAGCATCAATACATCACCGGATATTGTAGCATCACCCACTGCCCAGTGACTGGGGGACTCCAACAGTCAGCAAAGGGGAATCCGGGAAATCACCGCAAGGCACGTCTGCCGCATCTTCAATGAGTCCCAAATTCCCCTAGAATCCCCCGTCTTTTATATACATAGTTTGGAATGTCTTTATCTACTGCCATGCGCAGTATCTCCTGGTTATATAACGTCATGTATGATTCTGCGGAGTAGTTAGAGTCAACGCGTGATCGGCTGTGCCATCACGCGTAGTTACCTATTTTGATGGAATGCACATCTGGTGAATATCAGCCACATCTCTGGTTTCAACTGGTTTTAACTGGTTTAATGTACACTTCCAACATGTTATTTTGAACTCCAGTTACCCATCTAATGGTTATAATCGTTAGCATTATGACAGTTGAGTGTCAATCACTTCTCATCCATACATCCTATACACTCATGTCACATATGTATCACAGTCCCCAAGATCTCTCAGTGTATGTACTCACAAGTCCCAGGACAGAACGGCAACCTCCTTCCAATCTTCCAAGTGACTCTCTCCAGTGATACCAGACAGATCTTTGGCAGCAGCTCCCCTCAGTCATCTTACTGTAGAACCAGGTCACTCTTCCTAACTTCAGGCCCTCAGGTCATCCACCTGAGGCCCACATGGCAACAAGTGCCAGGCGAGGCAAGCCTGCCTCCAGCCTGGCTTGGTTCAATCCTCCCCAGGGAAAGACGCTGAACCCATGTGCTCAGAGAACATAAATACCAATCCCAGCATGCAGTGGGGCCACCCTCCCCTGCAATTGTCCAGGACTGTATCCATATTCATGCTGTTCATTTGCCTAGTTCCTTCCCAGGTTCTGGAAGGCTCTCATAGCTTCCTGAAGGTGGGCAGAACTAAAGGCAAAACACCAGCAGCACCAGAGCATCATGAGCAGACCTGAGTCGTCAATTACAGCACTCTGTTAAGCAGAAAGCCCAATTAGATTTTCCTAACAATCTCTCTGTTAAGCAGAGAAACACAGCTATACTTATCCTAACTATACCAATCCTAGCACCAGACTAGGAGGGTGTTTCATGTAGTTACACTGCTCCAGCTTAGGCCAATGTAACTATGTATATGACATACTTGGCAAATGCTGGTGGAAGTTGGAAATCTATGAAGTAGACACTGCTACTCCAGTCATCTCTACTTGTTTTCGGGTCCTTCAAAAAGCAACTGCTCTCCTGCATTGTAAATACAGGAGGTTGGTGCTCTGCATGGGTACCATTCAGGGAATGCTTCGCACAGTGTTCTCTGAATGGCCAAGGTGAAGGTGGAGTCGACGTCACACTGTCCTCCTGGTCCAATCAAAGAATGCTGTGCATTCATTCAAAAAAATGTAAACCATTTTTTAAATTGTGCCAATGCTGAGAAGCCGACCTGTATTCACAATGGAGGAAAGTAGTTGTTTGGCACAGGACCTGGAAGCAAGTGGGGATCACTGGAATAGCAGTGTCTACTTCAGTGATTTCCAGCTTCCAGGGGCATCCACCAGGTAAGGAGGAAAAATGTTTAGCATCATGGGTTAGAGGTGAGTGAGAGGGAAGGGGTTAAGATCTAGGGGCGATCAAAGGGTTAAGTCTATGCCTAACAGTGTTTTATGTGTGTACTGTGTGGCACTTGTAGTAGGGGAAGAGCCATTTTTTTTCTCCCTGCTTTGCAGGGAAACAAAATCTAGCACATTCCTGCTGACAGAGCAGAGCTCTGTATTGTTTACCGATCACTGGGTCCTGGCCGTCAATCATTAG